TTATTCAGGAATTCTGTTATCGACTTTAGAAGCCGATACAGTTGTTTGGTGTACTTAGTCTGTCAGCTGCAATGTTTCACAGTGCAGAGGCAGCAGACGCGTTAGAAGGTGTCTCCAACTTTCCCGATCATGCGCCAGCTCAGACGAAGAAAACTCGAATCTGGAGCAGAGTCCTTGGAGAAAATTGTGCCTGGTCCATTATTGGCTGTGCGCAAGACATTCTACTGGTCGATTAAATAGGTAGTTTCTGTTTCAGTGTCATTTCCGGAAGACTAAAAGATGTGACCCCATTTTCTTCTGCTACAGAACCAAAATGATGTTCTTGTTCAGGTACCTCACAATGGATTAAAGTTTTTCATGTTGCAACTTGATGACCAATGAAAATGACATTTCAGTGCTACTTTAATCATGCTTTTTTTATAGATTTCGCAAAGCTGCAAATATGACCGTAGTCAAGAATCTACTCCATTATGTTTCAGGTTGGAGTAAAGTTTTTCATCAGCTTCCCTGTTTACTGATTGACAATGATCTGAGAGAACAGTTTTCCCAAAGCTGCTAGTAGCACTGTACTGAGGTCGGTAAAGAAGTCCTCACCGACTTTCGTTAAACATGGGCACAACGAGCCATCGAAAGAGGCAATTTTCTAGGAAAAAATTCTTTTGCGGAAAACTTTTGCACTTGCTCCAAAAGCATGAAATAATACATATTACGGCATTATTTTACTGTAGTTTACGGTTACCGTTGAGTAGACCCCAGCCTGTAACAATGCACGGTTGCCCCGCAGCGATTTCTGATTTTGGAAGACATGCAGTGGTCACTGTTTGACTAAACGACGTCACATCTTCGGACAGCGTAAGAAGAGCGATGTCGTTGCTGGCCGCCAGTGGCTTACCGAAGTCAGGGTATTCAGTAATGTTCGAAATCGTCACTGAGTCAAATTTTTTTGACAGCCTGTCGTGCAGGCCAATTATCACTTTGTAGTACTTTCGATTTTTTCTGAAACAAAATTTAGATCATTCAGAACAATACAAACTAAATAAAATTCTTTACCTGGTCATGCATGTAAATACAAAATTCTTGAAAAGTCCCTCGACTACTCTGTGATTGGTATAAAATAATTTTTTTCGGTAAACGTATCATAGAAAAAAAGGAATTGGAAAGCGCAGTCGATTCCCATTACTGTGTTCCCGGAGAATGGGCAGCCATCAACGTAAGAGATCGCGTTGAACGGTGATCCACGATGATCTATAACCTTTCGAGTTGATGCACTGCTATGGACAAAATACTGTCAGCCAAGGAGACAGTGGTAACTGTAGATGATATCGCTTCTTGTACCTTAAGACAGATTTGTTTAAGAAAATGATACTCAGGCGATAGCTGCAAGGAATTAGGATAGGAATTTTTGTTTTATTGCTCTTCCCTGAACAGCATGTGATGACACATAAGCATAGACGGTGGGAAGGTTTGTTGGAACCATGATTGATGAATGATAATAGAAAACGAAGGAAATGATGTTCCCAGCAATTTTTGCCGGAAATATGGCAAAGAGGAATTATGTTCACATTTGTAGGCTATGCAAGAGTCCGTCTGAAAGGCTGTCATTTGGAATTATCCTCTATACTGAGAGCAGAACATTATTATAATGTAATTCAAGCTTTCTTACGATTCCTATAATCTTTTCGCTCGTTCATATTTGTACTCAGTGTATCTGTATCCATTGCAAGGCGGGAAGGACTCTATCAATGAAGTAGTTTTTCGGGATAATCGTATCGTATAAGACAACACGCATTGGCATGTTTTTAGTGCATTACGTACTCAAATGCACTTCCTCCAATATGCAAAGCAGAGGCTATTTTTGGAGGACGTGATGTGGTATTGTCCGTTACCACATTGAGTATATCAGTTACTGTTTCTATCTGGACTAATTTCCCTATCCTTGCTTTATTGCTACCCTTTTGACAACTTCCTCTCTTCACAAATACTGTATTTTTATATCACATGGCTGCTTCAGCACAACATTTGTAGAATAAACATTCAGCTACTGATAGACGGCTATGTAATGTAATTGTAAACCACTAATTGCTATAATTTGCTTTATTTCTATATTGCGCTCCGTATGTAGACAGTACGCACCATAGCGAATTTCTTTGTTTTCTCTGGAGCCAAATAGGCATATAATACTGCTCCTCATTTTTCTCATAGGTAGAATTGCAGACCTTATATTCCATGGTTACCAATGCCTCGATGGCAGCCGGTAGTTAGTTTAAAGGGCATGGAGCTAACCATCGCCCAAGGAAGAAAACCGAGGCAATGCTCAAACAGATGTTGATATAACAATTTAACAAACTGGATTGGAAATAAAATAGACTGTCTAACCTTTGTGACAGAAGATCACCCAAAATGATAAAGGGTTTCTTCACAGAAGTAAGAAACAGCAACGACGTCCGTAAGTTCATTTAGCCATGGGAGATTATGAGATGTAGAAGACGAATCATTATCCATCATCCTTCCTTTTAGTCAGTAAGAAATCTTTATGATTACAAGGTTTTGGATACATGAATAAGGGGTGGAAGGAGTGACTCATAAGTCTGTCGTGGCAAAGTCACAAGTCATGTCTATGTTTCTCTCGATATTCCTAACACATGACAACATCTAGAATTGGGGCTATATTTGTAGAATTGACCTGACCAGTGGAGGACTGCAGCCATTGCAACACCTTCTAAAGTTCTTGTCTCACTGGCCACAAGGAAATAGCCACCTCTGAAATCGAACCAAAAAGAAATTCCCCATGAGGTGGGCGATGAGGTCAGATTTATGCAAACGGTTAATCGACGGATCGTACCAAAAGCAGACAGCAAAAGTTTCCACCTACGAGTGCTGGAAGCAGTGACTGGCTGTCAGCACCTGTCGCGTGCCAATCATCGTGCCTCCGCAAATAATCTGGTTCATGAACGACAAGCCCACTTGCCAAGGCCAGCTGTTCGGCGCGGATTCTTCGCCTCCAAAAATACGGACGTTTACGACGTTTCTCCTCTGCAGCTGGCTTTGCCTTATGATCGAATCGACTGAAGGCACGTTAATGGACCTTCCGCATGTGCGTGGCATCTTTTCAATCCGAAGAGTGTCATGTCCATTACGGCTGACACTGGGAGATGGCATATCTGAAAGCAGTTTTTCTCTGTACGCAGGGTCAGGGCTGGTCATGGTTTTCCCTGAAACTTTTTATAACGTTTAAATTCAAATACAGGACATGTACAGGAAAGATTTTGATCCGTAACAGACTATTATCCCCAACCGTCGTGATTACTGAGAATGTAATGTAAAATGGAAATACATCTGTCTGTGGTCAAACTGATTTTCGTTCCTGTGCCTATATAGAGTCATACGTCATACCGTTATTTGCCGGATTTTCTCTTTAGTCTGAGAGCAATTTTCTTCCCGCACAGCACGTTGCTCATCTCTGTTAATAGAGTCAGGCCTTTCTGTCTGATCGCTCAATTCGCTGTCGATGTCCTCTCGTTTTGTGTGATGAACCGATTTGTTTCAATGCTGGGCTTTAGGGCAGGAGACGGTTTATCACCTTAACTAGTTTTTTCGCAGCTTTTTCGCTCTCCTCAAACAACCTGCCAAACAAATACTCTATCTGTTTTATATTCAGAGGAAATTTGTTAACAAAACTTGTTTGCCATACTTGTCAAAACTGGTCGGCTTCGGTTCCACGCATTTTACGTTTCGTTGTACTGTGCTGCATCATATTCACAAAGCATGCATAACGGAGTTCTTTTCTGAAGATCTTTAGATAGCGCGATTGTCCATATCGAAACTAGAAACTGATCCAGTGAACTTTTGATTGAACTTACCAAATGTTTCATTAAGCCAAGTCGATAGCTATAGAAGATAATAGGGCCCTCCTTTTCAGCATTTCCAGTTGCAGAGGTAAAAGTATTACGCACAGAAGAAACACAGTACACCGTTGTGGTGAAGAGAAGGCGAATAAATATTTCGGATGCACGCTAAGATCGTTAAACTCCTGTCTGCTATGTCGCGGATAAGCTTCGCGTACTCTTCAGAAACTCATTAATGCCATAATTTGGATGCCCTCAAGTTCCATCGCAGTCACTATTTAATAACACCGAAAAGATTAACCATGGCATCGGTCTTTTTAAGGCACTAGGTATTACTCGCAGTATATCGTGGATCCAACTGCTCAGAAACCTGAATTAACCTTTCTAGGAAGAAGACAAGGATGTTGAATTGTATTCGCCGTATGAAAGATCTTGTCACCTAATTGGAAAGTAGAATATTAATGAATCTCAATATTGCAACCATTGTGCACCTCATCAGACAATTTCACATATTGCCATGGAGCTTACCAAAGGTTCCTTCACAAGAAGCGTCTAGCCCGTTTGTGCAGCCGTGTCTGAAGTCACAGATACAATTTTCTTTCGGATGTAAAAGTCTAGTCCGAACTATCTCATAACTGATGGTGTACAGAAGAAGCAAAAAAATATATTAAAATCTTTGTAAAAACATCTTTTATAAATTTAAATTCAGTGGTAAACTTTGGACTGGTAAGACTGCTGCGTTCAATATGGTTCGAGAAACCTTCGATTGTAAGTTTTTCATCCATATGACCCGAAGGATCACAAATGAAAGATGTTGGTCGTGCCATACAAGTGCCGGTGGAGGAACTGGCAGAACACAGTCAAGTCATACAAGTCAAAGAAGACGACCCGGGGTAGATAGCAGACCAGATCGCTGGATTATATAAAAGACCTATAATTTTCTTGCTTATTGGATTCAGACAAATGAATCTGCCCATTCCTCACTGGACATAGTTGCTGCAAGATCTGCCCCAGCGATCCAAGAGAAATAACCAGCGTTGAAAATAAATGAAGATCTTTTTACCGTCTACACTGGCTACATCGGAGACGTTGTTCAGATCGGTTGGAAGCCTCTCGCATTTGCTTCTCTGTGCCTGGCCGAAAACAAAGCCTGGAATAACGATCACTGCGACGAGTACAGGGGGAACAAAACGCAGCGGCATTTTACGATATTTCATCAGCAACATGCCGTTGTGAATGAACGACACTTGCCTGCAACACTTATGACACAGAATCCCAGTTTCTTGCGCAAAAGGGGGACAGAAAATGCTGCGTGACAGTAAAAATTCCATACGCCGACATTCATAACTGCCATACCGTTTCCGAAGGTGAGCAGACAGCGCTGCCCCAAATTCCTGAGGCTCGCATTATGGCAGTTGTGCTCCCTTGATTACGATACTTACGCGTTTGGTTGAGCTGTAGGACAATTTGATAGGACGGTTTTTTTCTACATCGACCTGTCATATACTGTAAAGCGAAGCATCTTAATGATTAACGTATAGGTCAGAAGAAGCGCCTGCTCAACTTGCGTTCCGGTCGATGGTGCTATAGTCGGAAACTCCGTCCTTCCATTTACCGGTTGATTGGTGTCCAGTTTCATGAAATCAGTTGCCTGCGACTGTTGGCATTCATCAGCACCATGGCATTAAGGGAAGAAGAAAATAATTTGTTTAAAACAGTTCGATTCTTTGTCAGATGGGTAGTAGCGTACTTGTCAAGCAGATCACAATTCGTTT